GAAATCTTTGACACCAGGTCATAACCAAGTAGGTTGTGACCTTTGCCTTTCCAAAAGACTAAAATCAATTTCCTTATATATGTTTCAGTTTAATAAAATAAAATAAATCTGAAAAAATAGAGCTACCTCTTGCAAACCTCCCACATACAGAAGATACTAAAATATATGTGCACTATTTTTCATTGATGACAACACATAGCCTGCAGCTAAAATGTTCCCTTTATGCGATGGCATGAGAGGTCAGCCTAACCCTGCAGTTTGTTTTTGCAGCTAGCTGGTTTTGGAGAAGGGTGGGCTGGGGGCAGGGGGTGGGAGGGGTAAACAGGTATATGGCTACAAATAGAATCGAGCCACTTAAGAATAAGTCATAAGGGAGAGCGGTCTGTTCCCAGATCTGCGTCAGCACTGACCTTTTTGCTGTTTGCTGAAGGGATTGAATTTCACCTCCACCTCTCTGGCTTTCACTTTTTTCAGTCTTTACATTAAAACCATCAAAGGCAGTAAAAATGGCAGTTTTATACTGAAAGAAAAAAATGTATATGGCAGTTCAGCCTTTGGACAAGTGAGGGTGTACAGTAGAGGTACACTGATTACTGCAAGGTAACTGAGGTGGTTAAACCTTTTACCTGTAAATAGAAATACAGAATCCATCTTATTACAACAGATCGAAAAATATGTTTTTAAAAATACAACGGAACATATTATTTATTCTATAATAAACACCCATATTGTGAAGGGTTTCTCACACATTAAATCTTTCCGTATGGTTTGGACTGTGTTCTGACATCTTATTCCTTAGACTATAGCTCCCCCTGCTGGGACTTTTAGAGAATATAACATGTTCGCTTATTGCATGAAAAAAGTTTTTATTAAACAATTTATTTATTTAACCGACTAATTAATCAGCTGATAACGTGAATTATATTCAAAAAATGAGGAGGATTATAACATATTATAACATATATAATATTACATTATTATTAAATTAAATTATAAAAATAATCATTATTGTTGCTGCAAATAAAAGCCATATAATGTATAATTTATATGAGAACAATACTAATTTATAATGTTATTCATTTTGAACAAAATAGTATTATTTTTAAGATTTATATTTTAAATATGATAATACTAATAATGGTTAAATTTTATTATTGTTGTTATGATTATTGTATCCCTATAATAATTATTATTACTGAATCACTTTCATAAATACTATTGTTGTTATTGCTGTAGTAGCAGTGTTGCCTATGTATAGATTATAAACTTTCATTCATTTCATTTCATCAAAACAGACAAGACAATATTATATATATAATATATTATAATATAAATGCACAGCACATAGAGTGGGGGGGTTGTTCTGTGCATTTAACTTGTCTTTTTAATGGGCATTTGAGTGTGAATGCATAAGATAGTGAGCTGAACATTAGCAGCTCACAGTTACCCATAATGCACTGTGAAAAGGTACAGTAACACCCATTTTACAGTAATAAGGTGTGAGTGAGACATGACACAGAGAGGGAGGAGTTGCTCCAAGTTCAGTGTCAGCCCTGTTTCTATGGTAAATAGATTGTCACATGGGGCAACAATCCCCAGGCAGTGGAGACGAAAGGGAGGGGAAAGAACAAGCAGAGTGAGATTCATTGTGTGTAGGTGGGTGGATATATGCTGGAAGACTTTGGCCTGCCCCATGTGCAAGAGGCGGCACTTTCACCCTTAGGTTAGAGCCTGTAGGATCATATTACGAAAAGAAAACGGAAACAAAAGATTCAATGTGAGTGCCATGTTGTGGTCAAACTGAATCTTTGAGCTTCTCTGTCAGGGCCTTGATATGGCTCTACTTTTCTCACGTGACTCTTATTAGACTCACATTTTCTGTGAAACACAACAGCTGGTACCAACCTAGTTGTCGACACGTGAAGTCAAGAATTCCAAGATGCCTACAAACTTCACTGTGGTGCCGGTGGAGGATGCACAGGAGATCACCAACAGTGTGGGAGCAGCTGGAAGCAACAAGCCCTTTGCTCTGGACAAAATATTTAAGGAGGAACTCCAAGAAGACAACTCACAAGGTAGGAAGACACTATAAAGATAACAAACCACTTAGCTGGGAACCTATCTTCATTGAAAGGTCAACAATTAATACCTTTGGATCCTTGATTAAATCATGTGTGAGTTTGAGTGTATGCTAGTGTGCTTGTAAGGACAAAGTAAGGAGGTTAATGGTGCATTTTGCTCACCACATATGCTCACTGAAGCAAAGTGATACAAACAACCACTCACTTGTCAAGACAGGCACATACCTAACAGACGGCGTAAACAAACACATTGACTTGTGAGGCTGCTGAACTAGCCGGAGCTTGCAGGGCTGCTTGACAAATGTACTGAGGAGGGAGGGGGCAACTACTACTGACAGTGCAGCCTGTATTTACAATCACTCCTACATCACCTGAGCAGAGAAGTCTGTTGTAGAATTGTTAACCTACTAGAAGAGAAAAGAAAACTAATATATTGTCATTTTAGTTAGTAGAATTACATTTTGTTTGGTATCTCAGTCATTAGAATCAAACTACAACACTTCCCAGAAATAACCTTACCTTACCATTTTAATTACATTAATATCTTAATGACTAGAACATTTCAAGACACTTCTCCTAGGCATCTTTGTCAAATACTATATTTCCCCTAGCCTTTAAACTAACCTTTATGAACATATGCCAAATCGTATTTCATATACTAACACTAACCTGTCATCAGAATGGAACATCTGTATTTAAAGTGACTCAACACATTACAATAGAAATCAGACCCGAAATCTGTACTGTACTGCACTTGTCCCCCACAGATCTATATCAGCTTACAATCTGATTACATAACAAATATTACATTATTTTAGAATTTTTTTTATAAGTCACTAAACTGTCAATTGCACATTTTCTGGCCAGATAACAATATGCTCAACACTAAAATACAGTATTTAATTGAGAAACTATTTCAAAGGTCTCTGATTATTTGCTTTAATAACTGGTTAAGTGTGTAAACAGTGTAACAGCCTTCTTGACGTCGTCGCAAAAGATGTCATGAACCACCATCTTTCTAAGATGATAAGTATTAAAACGTTGAACCAGATAACGATGGCGAAATTAATTGTATTAATTTAAATTAAAAAAGACATGCAAAAATACAATAAGGGCGGAAGTCCAATCGGTGTTGATTTCGTCATGTATACTGGAACGAATGAGAGCAATAATTCATCAACCAATCAGAAATGCGGTTGCTGGCCTAAACGCAGGACATTTACACTGACATCCAATGATAGTGAACGTTTGTGCAGCAGTGGAATAAACAGAAGAATAAACAAGTAACTATTAAGCGTCAATTGTTAATTCGTGTTAAATCGATTTATGAAACGTGCGTGAGCAAAACGTGTCCAAGGATTTTACAGTTAGTTTACTTTTAAACAGTATTTAGCCCCATGTGAGAGAGCGAGCATAATCTTCAATGTTGTCATGATATTCACGCAATGGTAAAGAGACGAAACACTTAATACACTATAAGCTAACCTAGTTATGCTAAGAAGTGACATTTGTCAACTTCTTTCACTTGTCAACAATTGAAAACGTCTTTGTATACGTTTGTAAACTTAAATAATTAAAACAATCCTATATTTTGTTAAAAAGCAAGATTTATTTAAAATTAGCTGTGAAAAGTAACACTAATGTGTAAATATTTCAAATATTGTGATTAGATGCTTGTCACAAAATGCAAAAACCTTGCATGTCCTGTGACTTTGCATATTAGACAAATTACACGTGCTAGTCGGAAAATATAATTTTATCAGAGTGATGGCACCTGCATGTAGTGTGCGGAACCCAGACAAGACCGCTTCACAGTTGAATGCCATCAGCCTGACAACAGCATTTTCTATTAACACGTAGGTTCAACCTGCTCCAGCAGACTTTCTTGTTGGTGAGTCAGCAGGTCGAGGTCTCTTTCATGTGTGCATTATCTCCTCTCTGCTACTGTCACAAAATGAGCTTATTTAAGAACTTAAAGGACAGGTTTTGCAGTTTTCATCTGGCACCATCTATTTGTTTCTTTTCCCAAAACTGACTGTACATTTGAAAGTAACACAATTTTATTATAGAATTCTATGAAAGAGGGATTCTTGGATTGGAACAACACTGTAGAAGTGAACAAAAGGTGGAAGTGACTGAAACGAACCGTGTCTGGCTGCATGAAGTCTGTGGACTTTAAACTTATTTTTATTACATTTATTTGGACTTTTATGTCTTAAATTGGCCTATTCAGTCATAATGAGGACAATAAAGTCTGATTTGCCCAGCTAACATTCAGTGGTTATATAGTATATAGAGTATGAATTTGTCCACAGGTTACATGTAAATTTATAATAATTTATATAGTACAGATGCATGGGACCTGCATGGTTTCACTTGGAAGATGTAGCCTTTCTAGATATGCAGACGTGGTACTGTACTGTACTTTGCAACTTAACTTTAATTCAAGTTCAGCATGTTCACAGTCTCTGTATCACCAAATTCAGTCTATATTTGCGGCTATGATTATGAAAATGTCTCTTTTAGTCACTTCTTTTTGTTGCAGGCCTCTTGATGAGTGCATGCATCGTAGCATTTAATATACTTTTATCATTGGAAATACTCTCTGGTGGATGGGGCATTCCCAGCATTGGCTCTTTTGCATCATCTAAATCTCTAGAAAAAATGTGACAGTAGTAAATAGAGGATACAAAGTGAGCTCTGAGAAGAAACAGTGTTGTAACACTGACCTGACCTCTGCTTTTCAGATGTCAGAGTTTTCAGAGATGTTCTTTGTGCTTTCTAAAAGTACAGAGGATATGGATTTTGGAATCTCCCTACTGCTCAACCCTGAATGCTAAATTTTGTTACAATCGGCCTCATACCATAGGCATTTACAGTGAACTCTTTTTCCAAACCAACTGTTCTTCACTGTTGACTGAGCCACCCTTCAGTTCAGAGACGAAGAGGTACAATTGTGTGATCTAATGTAATTTACCAAATGTTACAGGAAAAGATAACTCAATGTTGAGCTTTCTCATTAATCTCAGATTAAGGCAGTGTTCTCTGAACAGGATTACAGATTATCACTCCATCAGAACCACTTTAGGAGAATGAAATATATTTATATATATGTGTGTCTGTGTATATAGATACATGATGTATTCATAAAAATATATTTTCATAAGATTGTATATAAACATTTATTTCATTTAAATAAGTTTAAGAAAATGCTATTTGTGATTATTTCTATTTGAAATGTATGTAATGTTTGTGTTTCTTATTAGAAGAGGAGGTTCCAAAAGAGTCCAGTCCATTTATTAACCCAGAAAATGACGAAGAACAGTACTATGAAGGCAAAAATATGGCTCTGTTTGAGGTGAGTCAAATGGCATAATTAGAGATAGCTGCAGTACATACTGTACGACACAAATACTATATTCCTATAATTTCAAAAGTCAAGAAAACAAAATAAAAAATACTATCTCTGCCTGCAGGAGGAAATGGACAGGAGTCCCATGGTGTCATCCCTTCTCAACAAGCTGGCCAACTACACCAACCTGACACAGGGTGTTCGTGAGCATGAGGAAGAGGCCGAAAATGAAGATGGTGTCAGAAGGGTCCCTGTCATGGTAAACAGTTTTTTTTATTCACTGCTTAATTTGTTAGTAAGTTTAGTAAAACAGCACCTAAACCAAACATACCTGAGATAAAACACAGGGAAAACACATCAATTATTGTAAGTACTAAGGCAGATCACTAGTGTTTAGTATTTGTTAATTACCAATCTGCAACTTTGATTAATTTACTTCACCTCCCCCCCCCCCCCCCCCCCAGCATGTTAAAGGTGCTTATTAGCTACTGAAGAGACATCCTAAAAATAATGCATTGAACAAGTGTTATTCATGTGAAGCTCAATAGTCCTCTGCTCAAATATAAAGGGCAGCTGTAAATTCCAAAGGGAATCTGCTGTAGAGATGATTTTCTGCACCGATCACCTTCTCACACCCTCTCAGATTGAAAATCAAGGATTTATTTTGGCCAGTGGACTTCCTGACAGCCATGAAAAATTCAGGCACTGAGCTATGTGTCTGTGTACGACTGGCTATGAGCGCCAGCTGGAGGAGGAGAGTGGAGGTGAACTGTCAGACAGGTCTGAAGTTTGGGGTCAGATGTAGTGTCATTATAAATGCACAAAGTCACAACGGCAGAACAAATTGCTATTGTTCTTAAAACTCTTTCAGGAGCTGCTAGTCCCCGAGCCTTCAGCCAACCTAGTTTGCATAATGTTGGGTATGATGGAATTTGAATTATTTCCATCTGGTGACATTTTTATCCTCCCTGTCTAGCTGACATTAACTAAAACCTTAAAACTCCAAATGCAAGAAAAAAACATTTCATATTTGTGATATTTAAGTGTGATTATCATATGTAATGATTGGAATTATAACCTGATAGAAAACAACAAAAGTTATTTTATCTGCACTGTAAGAACATGGTTAAAAGACAGTAGAACCTTCAAGTAGACACGTTGATTATGTTTGATGAACACCCACCCCCATAGTGAGAGCGCTGCTTTTTTCTTTAACGGAGGAATAAAGGAGGCTGGACACTGAAGGGAACAGGACAGATAATGTTATTAGAGTTGGGGGGAGCAACACTGGGGCAGATGAAGGAGTGGAAGAAAAGAAGGCGGACTGAGAAGAACAGAGCAGCAAAAGTAAGAGTGATAGAATAATGTAGGTCTCCACATCTCCCACCGCAGTGGTGTGCAGTGCAAACGTCCCAGGAAAGGGTTTGATTCTAGAACAATGGTATGTACATCTTATATTTTATAGCATTTCAGGAGTAAGAGATGGAAGTTAAGGCTTTAGTCTGCTGCTTTTTTATTGAAAGGTCACATAGTGTCCTTCCCCACATATAGAGAAATTTTGTGTGAATGTTTGAGGACTTCAGTATTTGTGGTTTACTACAAATGCTATATCTATTGCTGTGTTTACTATCTGGTAAAATAGTTTGACATTTCTAAGGATGTGCTGCTGCAGAAAGTTATCAAAATTTAACCTAAACACAAGAATATGTAAAAAGGTTTGAAGAGAAACCTTTAGGTGTCTGACTTTAGTTTCTTAGGCATCTTTTAAAAGTTTTAGCCTAAAATATAAGAAACAAACATCAAACACTAAAATATTCATGTACTGTATGTTCTTTCTTTTGCAGGTCCCTCAGATGGGAACCTTTATTGGAGTTTACCTGCCCTGCATGCAAAACATTCTGGGTGTCATTCTCTTCCTGCGCCTCACTTGGATCGTTGGAACTGCAGGAATCTTGGGCTCCTTTGCCATCGTCTCCATGTGCTGCATCTGTGTGAGTCATTTAGAAACTTATCGGCTTAATCTTTAGCTAAAAATGTTCCATGACTTTGAGGTTAGCTAAATTAAAAAAAACAGCTGGGAATCTGTAGCATAAATCTGCAGTATAGATAAAATTGAACAGAACAATTTAAGTTTAAACTGTGTTTTTTTTCTTCTCCTAATTGCAGACATTGCTGACAACCATATCAATGAGTGCCATAGCAACAAATGGTGTGGTACCAGGTAAAGTATGAAAAAAAAGTTTATTTGGCTCAGAATTTTCCTAGTAACCCTTGTTGATTTAAAAAAAATCACTTAATTTTGTCAGGCCTACATTTATATTTTGTGCAATATATTAGTAAAGTCCAAAATAAGTCGTAAAACAAAAACATTTTAAAACATTATACATTTTTAACTGGTGTTTTGTGTTTCCAAAGCCGGTGGTTCATACTACATGATCTCCAGGTCTTTGGGTCCAGAGTTTGGAGGAGCAGTGGGCATCTGCCTCTACCTGGGGACCACTTTTGCTGGATCCATGTACATACTCGGAACGATAGAGATTCTACTGGTGTGTTTTCACAGGGACATTTGAGAAGAAGTCAGTTTTTACTTTTGTGTCACATTAATAACCCTTGGGCGTCTTATTTTTAATCTACTCCTTACATCCAGACGTACATCGTTCCCACGGCAAAAGTTTTCAAAGAAGGAGGAGATACTGACTTTCTCAATAACATGCGTGTTTATGGAACATGCTGCCTGGTCTTGATGGCACTAGTGGTGTTTGTAGGAGTGAAGTAAGTTTGTGCAGGATGACATACAACACATTTACATACTACACATACAGGTTGGTGTGTTCTTTTGAAGACACTGCAGCGGGTTCCAGACATTGCGATCGAATAAGCAAAAGCTTATCTGGAACTTTAACCTTTAACCATCGAGTAACCAACTGTAACATTAGCACAGGTTACATTTTACACTTTTTAAACTTTGACTATACAATTTTTATCTTCTTTTTTAAGGTTATTTATATAGTTATTTATTTAAATACAGCTGTGGGGAGTTTTGAAGCAATAGCTGTGATGGTGTCAATGTGGGAGGGAGGAGGGGTCATGAACTTAAGAGAAATGTCCATTTTGATTGATCAGCAGATCCTGAAATTTTGCCACTATCAGACATTCCCTTTTGAGGACAATGCTTTTGGTCCATGTTCAGTCATCTGATCCTGAAAGTTGAAATTTGTGTAACCCACAAAACATTCTTAAAATGCAACAATATGTACACACACACACACACACACACTGACATCGGTTCTCTTTTCTTCAGATATGTGAACAAACTAGCCCTGGTTTTTCTGGCCTGTGTAATACTCTCAATCATGGCTACATATGCAGGAGTTGTCAAGACCCTCATTGAACCTCCAGAGTTTACGTGAGTGACAGTTTTGTGTTTTTATGATGTTTATTTTCTTAGAATTACTGTATGAAAAACTGCTGTTTGCAGATTTGATAGATTTATTGTGTGGTGATATTTTTTCTGTCTTTTTGTTTTCATTAAAATAGCACTTTTGTAGCAATTGCAGTGTTTAAAGTAACTTTCATTGTTACTCTGTTGAGTTTTGAAGCAAAAGCTGTGAATGTCATACAACAATGCTCCAATCTACAAAAAAAAGGCTGTTCAAAAAGTTTGGCACCACAGCTTTGCAGGATTTCTCCACCCAGCTCACCTCACGTCTCTCTGTGTTTCTCTGCAGTGTTTGTCTGTTGGGCAACCGTTCATTGAGGAATGAAAAGTTTGAAACATGTGCAAAGACAGAGTTGGTGAAAAACGAAACTCGTACAACGGATCTGTGGCCCTTGTTCTGTGACAATAAATACCTCAATGCCACGTGTGATGAATATTTCATTGTTAACAACCTGACAGAGATCCAGGCCGTACCTGGGCTTCTGAGTGGAGTGATCAAAGGTGAGACAAAAACAGGGAAATAATCTTTTGGGTTTTGAGGACTTTTATTTGAGAATAAAATTCTATATATAAAGCTATAAAAAGCTAAACATGTAAAACAAAAATCCTTTTTGTATGTATATAATTTTCCTCTCTGTCTCTTACCTTTTTATCAGACAACTTGTGGGGCAACTATGATCCAGCTGGGGAAATGTTAGAGAAGAAAAGCCAGCCATCAGTACCAGTGCCAGAACAGACAGAAGACACTAAAAAGCCCTATGTCTTTAATGACATCACCACATACTTCACTCTGCTGGTGGGAATATACTTCCCCTCAGTCACAGGTAGGAGATGAAGCCCAGCTGCTATTTTGTTAGTTAAGGTTTCATTATTTTATTTTATGTTGATGAAGAAGAAGAATTGTTTCTGAAACTGTTATCAATCTTGTTGTCTTTCTAATTTCAGGTATTATGGCTGGTTCTAACAGGTCAGGTGACCTCAGAGATGCACAGAGGTCGATTCCAATAGGAACCATTATGGCAATTCTCACCACCTCCTTTATTTGTATCCTTTTTAAATGTCTTTGGTTGTTTAAAAAGAACAATTCTTTAGGTGATATTTAAAATTATAAATATTAAAAAAAATAATGCTTTATTAAAAATTTGAAAAAAAAGGCATAAAAATGGTATAATCATCCAAAAAGCATTTTTCCCCAGATTTCTTCATGTTGTCAGTGTTTTCTCCTTAATTCCCGCATCAGACATTTCCTGTGTGGTCTTGTTTGGAGCCTGCATCGAGGGAGTGGTGCTCAGAGATAAGTATGTGTGTTCATGCTGACTTCCCAGTAATTTGGCTTCGTTCAAACCAGACAGACAGAAATCAGAAAAGCCAAACCTTTTGTAGACAGTAAGCTGCAGATGAACTCTGATAATTCATGGACTCGAATATTTAGAGCAAGTGAGCCTGAAAGAACTTAGACACTGTTTCTACAGGGCCTAGGTCAGAGGTCAGCAACATTAATTGCAAAAAGGCTGAAAAGTAGCATGTGAAGTGTTTATTTTTAATGTTAAATATTTCAAATGTTACAGATGTTTTTTCTGGCTTGTTTCAGGTTTGGCTTTTCTGTGAAGAAGAACCCAGTCATTGGTATCCTGGCATGGCCGTCGCCTTGGGTGATTGTAATTGGCTCCTTTTTCTCTTGTTGTGGGGCTGGACTCCAAAGCCTGACCGGTGCCCCTCGGCTGCTGCAGGCCATTGCTCGTGATGGCATTATTCCTTTCTTACAGGTCAGTGTTTAGCCACAACCCTTTGTGTGTAACGGTAGAGCTGAAAAAATAGTTTAGTGTTGGGAAGAGGTGTGGCAAGTCAACTTTTATTGCGACAAATGTCACTACCTGGTCTCGAAGAAGTCCTGCAGAATCCTAGAAGGAAAGTCTCCGATGTAAATAACACTTTTGGATGAGATGTGGTGAAACATCTTGGTAACTTTCAAAGCTAAAGCCTTGTACTACATGATTCATTTATTTGCCGGTCTTTTTCAGGTCTTTGGTCATGGAAAGGCCAACAACGAGCCGACCTGGGCTTTGTTGCTGACAGTTGGAATCTGTGAAATAGGAATCCTTATTGCTTCCCTGGATGCTGTCGCTCCCATCCTCTCAATGTACTTCACTGAATATGTTTTTTGGCTTTTGTTTAACATATCTGGACAAATGTATTTTGACAATACATTTACTGTGCACACAGGTTCTTTCTCATGTGTTATCTGTTTGTCAACCTGGCCTGTGCTGTGCAGACCTTACTCCGTACACCCAACTGGAGACCACGCTTTAAGTTCTACCACTGGTACAAAAATAAAGCATAAAAATCACCAAATTTGTGCATTACACTCTGACATTGTCAATTTACTACAGTGTCTCTCCATGTGTCCATCATGTAGGACATTGTCCTTCCTGGGGATGAGTCTGTGTCTCTCCCTTATGTTTGTCTCATCCTGGTACTACGCTCTGGTCGCTATAGTGATTGCTGGATGTATCTACAAGTACATTGAATACAGAGGGTAAGTTCTCTCTTTCTCACTAAAGGTTTTGTAGTCAGATCTAGAGCGTGCATGCCAATGTGTCCTTGGTAAAGATGCTAAACATGTGTGAAGTGCAATACAAAATAGTGGTATAAATAGCGTTGATCAATTGCAGGGCAGAAAAAGAGTGGGGAGATGGAATCCGAGGCCTGTCCTTAAACGCAGCCCGTTATGCTCTCATTCGTCTGGAGGAAGTACCACTGCACACAAAAAACTGGAGGTGAACATAGAAGTTTGCTGGGACTGTTCCAGATTGTATTTTACCATCAATTATGTCCATGCTTCATTGTCTCCTCCTTTGCTGCCTCTCTCTTTAGGCCTCAGCTGTTGGTGTTATGTAAGCTGGATTCTAACCTGAAAGTGAAACACCCACATCTCCTTTCATTTACATCCCAACTGAAAGCTGGAAAAGGTCTGACCATTGTCTCATCAGTGCTGGAAGGAACATACATGACCAGAGGGGCTGACGCCAAGACTGGGGAAGAGGTTCGGTAGTTTTTAATTACTCTTTGATCTTACTTCAAAACTAAACATTTTATCATTGATCACAAAAGCAAAAAGAAAATGAATTTAGACACAAAGAATTCAAGACATAAGACTGTGCTCCATTTCCTTCATCAGAATCTAAAAGCTGCCATGGCTGCAGAGAAAACCAAAGGCTTTTCCCATGTGGTGGTGGCATCCAACCTGAGAGATGGTTTCTCCCTGCTTATCCAATCAGCCGGACTGGGAGGAATGAAACACAACGCTGTCCTGATGGCCTGGCCAGCTGGCTGGAAACTGGCCCAGGACTCCTCTGCAAGGCAGAATTTTATAGGTGAAACCATTTGATTGATTCACTTCATGTTCAGTTTGAGGACTTGGTCCTGAAAACAGTAACATCCATAAAAACAGCAATGAAAGCTGAGGTTGCTTCATACATTTAAAAACAAACTGACCATCTACTAATTTCAGTCAATGTGGCTTATCAACATACTTTTATCGTGTCTTGTTCCCTTCTTTCATCCAGAAACGGTGAGAGAAACCACAAGTGCAGAGCAGGCGCTTCTGGTTGCTAAGAACATAGACAGCTTCCCCAGTAACCAGGAGCGTCTGACAGAGGGAACCATCGACGTGTGGTGGATCGTGCATGATGGTGGACTTCTGATGTTGCTGCCTTTTCTACTTAATCAACACAAGGTGCTATTGCCTTCTGGTTTAATGTTGTCTGAGTCTGTGTGTTATAAGATAATTGTAAAATATATATAAGAGTTGAATGAATGAAATACCTGAACCATAATTTGTTCATGGAGGTTTAATCCATGCTTTAATCAAGTATCAATAAAACCTTTAGGTTTGGAGGAAGTGCAAAATGAGAATCTTCACTGTTGCCCAAATGGACGACAACTCCATCCAGATGAAAAAGGATCTCCAGATGTTTGTCTACCATCTACGGCTGGATGCAGTGGTGGAGGTAGTGGAAATGGTAAATACATGTACTCTTACTCCTTGATTGGTCAGTTACATAATATCAATTCAGTTCTCAGGGGTGAAATTGCAATTGTTTGCCTTGTTTCTGCAGCACGGCAGCGATATCTCGGCCTTCACCTATGAGAAGACACTGATGATGGAGCAGCGATCACAGATGCTCAAACAGATGCAGCTGTCACGCACTGAGAAGGAGAGAGAGGTCTGTGACACATAATTAAATCTATTGACAAATCTCCAGCCCATAGAACAAATTTATGTGCACTTGAAAAACAAAGCACCTCTGTGAACACAGCCAACAAACATTTTAAACAGTTAATATCAACTTCTCCCCTCAAATAGACAATTCAGAATCTCATCATTTTACTGCAAGAAACTCATATAGTTTTAAAAATGTTTTTCATGTCAAATGTTGTTTGTTAAAATAAAATCAAATTTGACTTATCTCCTGACCTGTGGATCTTTTAGGCCCAGTTAATTCATGATCGCAACACAGCCACGAATGCCAAAGCTGCACGTCAAACCACACCAGATCATGTCCACATGACCTGGACCAAAGACAAAGTGATCAACGAGAGGAACAAACACAGAGAGAACATGGCTGTGAAGGACATGTTTAATATGAAGCCGTAAGTTCTCGCAGTTTTAATGCTTTATGAAGCAAGTTTTTTTTAAGTGTCCCATCATGAGGTAAAATTAACTTATCCTCATGTCCAATTGTTAGCATGGTCTGTTGTATTTTAAAATTTAAATATATTGTTTTCTGAATTTTGTCTTTCTCCAGAGAGTGGGAGAATCTGTAAGTCTCTTCATCTTTTTAAGTCTGCATGTGCATGAGCCTAGTGTGAGTGTGTTGAATTAATGACAATCTGTGCTTACGAGTGTTAAAGCGGCTCAAGATTCTTGTTGCATGATCAACAGTGTTGGGATGTGATGTTTGCTTCATGCTTTTGCTAATTTTGCAGTCTGCAGCCTTAACTGATTCCTGAGCAGTTATTCTGTGTGTCCCATAGAATTGGTTTGAGAACTATCCAGCAGGGTTGCTCTTTTAAATCAGTTGTGTTTTTTTGAATGTATGTGATTTACCGTAGAAGTCAGTCGAACGTACGGCGGATGCACACAGCAGTGAAGCTCAACGAAGCAGTCGTCAAAAAATCAAAGAATTCCCAGTTGGTGTTGCTCAACATGCCAGGACCACCAAAGAACAAGAAAGGAGACGAGAACTGTATCCTTATAAGAATAAGGTGATTTGTCTCAAATGTGTCATAATATTTTTATAAATGGTATGACTTGACCTTAGGGTATGGTGGTACGATTGTATAATGAAATGGTGCAAAAATGCTATTTTTACAAAGCTCCTTATAGTTATAAAATAACTATTAATATATATTTTTTATTTATCATATTGATTATATTGTCATATTGTTATCCTATACCTAGGTTTACAGGATTAAAATAAAATCGTTTTGCAAATACGGACTTTGTCACCACCTGCAGGTGTAGCAAAGGTACATACACGCTCAGCGTTGGAAAACGTAAAATCCCACTGTAATTGAATAAAACTGAGTTCTTACGATTTCAATTTACTCTAGTCTAGTCTAGACTCACTCTTTCACTCCATGATGTGCATTCTTTAACCAGACTATGTCTCAGACATGGAGTTCTTGGAGGTTTTGATGGAGGGCTTGAATCGTGTCGTGTTGGTCCGCGGGGGAGGTCGAGAGGTCATCACCATCTACTCATAACACTGTTATGTTTCTAAGCTTATTGACATTGTTGGACAATTGGGAATACAGTGGGCAGGGATCGGGGAGGGTGCTATGATATACACTCTCTGAGCCTTCACAGGGAAGCACATTCAGCATCATGCTTCATTTTGGAGTACCGTAGTGTCTCTAAAGGCATTTTGTCCCATCCCACCTTTCAGTGCCTGTTTTAGGGTTTCTATATAATTCCTATATATTTTCCTTCCTACTCCCTTGATCTGTTTTTATCAGGCCATAGATGGTTGACTGTACCGGAATTTCAGGGCAGTAGAGGACATTTTTTCATGGTATGACTCAGGACTCTCATGGCTTTTGATTAGAATAGAATAGAACAGAATAGAATTGAGTAGAAATTATTGTAGTTATTGTTGAATGAGACAACACTAAAAATGATTTTCCTTTTTTATTACAATATATTTTATTTTTAAAGATGACAACACTTGAGTATCCATTGTGTAAATAGATAATAATTTTAAGAGAAGCAATGTCAGGACATAAAAACAACAATTCTAGTTCTTTTGTGTCTAATGCATTTTAAGTGTGTGACAGTGAATACAAAAAATGTGAATGAAATGAAATGTGTGAGATTTGGACCAGTAAAAATACTAGCTAAGGTTTTATTTAGTTCTTAATTAAAGTGGCTTTTCAGTCAGTCCTAACAGTATTGCTCTCTTCTAACATAATCTGCATTCGATTATAGAACAATTCCACCTTAACTGCCTGCTGGTCTCCAAGGGGCAGTTCTAAGGGTGACAGCCCTAACACAAAAAAACATAAGGTAAACACGTATGATATTTTCTAAGGCAGACTTTTTTGCAGGAGACATCCCCAGGACACACTGTGTTTTTTTCTACAACCCACTGTATGCGTTCACTTAATAATAATTAAGTGATCGCGACTGTTTACGTTCTGATAATCATGTGCTGCATTTGGTTCCAAACCACTGTCTAATTGTGACAGAGACGACCGGCCAGATATGGACCCAGCCCACTATTCTGAAGGTAAGGTCAAGTTTTTAATTATTTGTCAGAAAAACATTTCCAGACATTTCAAGTAGGTTACTCTCATACGCAAAGTGGAAACACACATGCAAAGTACTGGAAAAGCAACCTGGATCGAACCAGCAAACCAGTATTTTTGTAGAAAGGCAAAAGTATGAACCACTGTGGCCCCACCCATATGTTTGCTTGTTAAACCATTACTTTTTTTGTCGATCCACTTTCGTAGCATCACTATACATGACCTAAAGTTTAACGTTACATTATGGAGCTCTAGTAAATATACTGTAAGTCTAGTAAATCAAGCTGAAGGGTTGGCCTGAAGAGGGTCCAATGGGCGCCAGAGGGTGGAGGGGTCTTTTTTCCTTCCTAGGGAGTCAAATTTCCTAACTGAGTGGGCCTTCAAGTCACTCACCCTAGAACTGTGGGAGCCTTTGTACTGAAAGTGTGAGAGACAGACAGAGAGGGAGAGAGGGAAGGTAATTTTAGGTCTCCACATTGGGGCAGAGAGAAACAGCTTCCCTGAATGTTCATCACTGAAAGGCATCTGGATTTTACAGCCAAACCTGGATTTTTATTTTGTTATTGGCTAAAATGTTTGAAGGGTAAGACTGTTTACACCCCTGTTTTTCTGCATGCAAATATGAAAAATAAATAAATAAATAATATAAAAACTTAAATTTAAAGTATTTTTAATTCAGATTATAGCTGTGATTAATGACAATTTCTGGGTGTAAAATGGCCTTTATTCAAATTGACTTTTAAATTATATTTAATTTAATGTATGTGTTCAACATAGATTTATACTTGTGTACTTAGTCGTGACGTCAGACACACTCGGTGCTGCTTCATTGACTGATGTTTCTCCTCAGGTGGTCTCTTGCGCTGCATCTCGTCCTTCTGTGCTGGCTAGCTGCTGCTCTGCAGGTCATAGAAGGTAACATTTATGCTAATGCTACACTTTTACATACTGCAAGTCCAAACTACTTTTTTTTCAGTTTCATTAACAAAGAACATACTATATTTGTATTTGTTCAAATGATTGAATGGGATAACATTGTGCATTTTAGAAAGCAATAACAATTGTCCTAAGTTGTGATAAAAAGTTGAATTTAGGTTTGTTGTAATTTTTTCTATATCTGCATACTGTGGTATGAAATACAATGGAATAGAATTTATTGTCACTGTACCATTTCAACGAAATTCTGGGTGCTATTGCAGACAACACCCAAACAGAACAGTGTAAAATAGAAAAAAATGATTATAATCATTGGCTCATTATTACATCTGTTTTTCATTCATTTTCATTCTTATGTAGACCACGCTCATTTTCTGTTTGAAAAAATTTTTTTTTTCCATAATAATATCACACCTTTTCGTATCAAAATGTGTTTTTCCATATCAGGTTATTTTCAACGTTTTATTAGAATAACTGATATAGTCTGTCGTGACCAGTGAAGTAGGTATAAAAGTAACGCTAGAATCTTTTGTTTTCTACCACAGTAAATGTGTAAATCACTTTCACACCTCCCCTGTTCCTGTGGACTCACCCTCTGCTGTGAGACTCTTACTTGTTTGTTTGGCAGCAGTCTCTGCTTCCTTTGCTCACCTTCTGCTGTTTGTCTGCATGTGTTGTGTGTCTGTGTGTGTTTGATGGAGTCGTTGGATGTAGCAGACAGATCAAAGTTTGCACCAGGGTGAGAATTTAATTTACAGTGTGTGTGAGGGTGTGACACTAAACTCCAGGGAGGGTTGTGAACATCTTGTGACATTTAACCTTTACAACGTGTCAGACACAAATAATTGTTTCATAAATGATCCTTAAAACATCATCATTTTAACATGTAGCGTTTTTTTCCCCTTTAGCTCATAGTTTAACCAGGCATTAAAATATTATTGACCTTTTTATGACACAGTGCTAGCATAGATGTTTTGCAGCTGCATTCTGGGTAGATGACAAGAATGTGGCTGATACGATCACGATACAGGTATATTGCGATATACTGCAATACTATAGGCACGATGATATATTGAGGTTTTTCTTCTTTTTTTTTTCTTTTTTTACAATTTAATTGTAGGAAATGTGGTCATTGAGTGAACGTGACTTTGGTCGGAAGACACTTGAACACAAAGGGTCAACTGTTGGAAAGCTCACAGCTGTATGAGTGTAACATTCAGCTTTACTGAATTTTATTGGGAAAAAATCTCTTCATGGCAAGTTTAAGTCCAGAATCAACACTTCTTTTGTTTTGTATTTTTCCTCTGGCCGGTCTGTTGTAAATGTTGTCATTTTTTCCATGAGGCGATGCTAATTGAGATAATGTAAGATTCTCAGTGTGCCCTTGTTCTATAGCAGGGTAGTGGATCTTGTGCGGTGGCAGAGAAAAATGATTTATAACGTAAGCCATTGGTAGCAAATTAATTTCAATTTTAAATCATTTCTTCATGCTTGTCCCATAATGGGGAATTGGCATTGATTTGTAATTTCATTTAAATGGGAATAGCAGTTCTGTTGGAATTACTGTTTAAAAAAAAAAGTTCAGGGAAGTTTTGAAGCAATAGCTGTGAATATGTCAACGTGGGTGGGCTGGACAATAGTCCTGTCTACAAAAGACGGTGCAGGAAAGGTTTGGGAACCACGGTGATCTACTGAGTGGGTGCATTCATATTCATTTTTAAATCCCAGTGGCTTGAAGCTTATGAAGACTTTCCCAAAGTGACTTGCAGCTGTAATTGCAAAGCCTGTCCCTTAAAACTACTAACTTTAAGGGGCATACATTATGTCATTAAGTCTACACAATAATGGGGGGGCGACAAACTCCATACTGGATGACCTTCATTTTTCCTACATCAGCTCTTTGCTATTTGTCTCTGTACATGTTTGTACAATATTTTCACTAAGGGAAATTAGGTTGAAAGGTCGCCAGAGATTTGATGTAATGGAAACTGTCCGTCCACAGCTTTTCTCCACTGACCTTCTCACATCTAGCACAAAGCCTCCTTTCATCTGAGACACACTGTAGACCTTATAGTGCGCCGCTAAATGAACTTGTGTGTGTGTGTGTGTGTGTCCTAGGTGGGTGTGTGTGGGTTAAAAGTCTGAAGATCATCTGCATGATGAGACAGATCTGTTGGTTATTGTCTTGATAACCTGTGGTTCCAAATGACAGCCAGTAAAAGAACCACTGATTATATGCAGCTACGTCATGAAAGCAATCAGCCGTCAGAGATGGGATTAACTACGTAGCTGTCAATCAATTCGAATTTATAATCAGATAAATTGGCTGCGGATTAATCAGGATTAATCACAGTCATGCACAGTGCAGAAAAAGGACAAGGGCTAGAGTTGCTAAGTGGAGATTGTTTAAACATTAACTGAGAGGAAAGTTTTTATAGATTTAGTGATGGAGGACATGGTAGAGGTCGATGTAGCAGTACAGAAAGGTGAGAGGTGAGGCACTGTGGTGACCCCTGATTGGATTAGCACAAAGAAGAAGTGATAAATTAGCTTCACTCTCTATAGTATCTTTTAAAAAGCCTCAAAATGGGATCAGTATCATACTGATAACTGCAGTTTCTTTGTGTGACTTCCCTGAGATTGGTCAGAAATCCACAGATTAATAGGTGTGTGTGTGTGTGCGCATGCTCATCACTTCAAACATTCCCAGCATTCTCTGTCTCCCACCTGGTGATTTTGGACTAAAGAAATGTGATCAAACGAACAACTCCTGTCAGTCTTCAGGCAATCACAATTGAGTGAGCTGAGGTTAGAGTCAGAGTGTTGCTGCCACTTAGCGTTGGGAATGTGAATTACATGCTCCCCACTTACACTATACACAGTATATAAAATTGACATAATTTCCCCCATAAAAACATTTTGGTTTGTTTTTTTCATACCTATGTAAGTGAGTTAGTATGTAGGACAGACAGGTCACCACAGGGATGCATTGTTTGAAAGAAAATTAATGTGTTTATTTTAACATCAATCAGCCGTTGACTTTTTGGTTCTGAATGTAGCCTTTAAATTCGACGAGAGTTAAGAGAGTTAGAGCGGAAGACGATGGGAGGGACAGAGGAAGGGAGGTGGAGGGGGAAAACAGCAAAGCAACACAGGCCTCATTGATGGCTGGTGTGTGTCTGTCTGTGTGTCTTTCTGTGTGCGTACAGTTACCTGAAAAATGTGCTCCTATCGATTGACCTCTGAAGACAGCCCACCTACCTGCTTGGCTTACGGGACGGATAGGAGAATGAAATTAAAGTAAATACTTTGGATGGACTCAGAAACACACAACTCTCCCTCACTCCTCTGCTGACCTCCCCCTACACACACATACAAATATCTCTCGCGGTATAATTGGACCAGGACATTCTAACTGAGAAAAAAAGAAGTGCTGTTTGTGTGTAGTCTGCGAGAGAACATTCTTAAATCATTTGAAAATCTTAGGTCTTGTGACGTCTCCCCTGTGTCGGGTCACTTCTTCAGAGTATTTCACAGCATTCCTGAGTGATTAGCTGTGACAGTAAACCAATTACAGTTAATTGTGGAGTTTTTTACGGGAAGTGGGAGAGGTGAAGGGTGAAAGAGTCTTTCTTTGTGGAATTTCGAGGTGCAATATGGGGCTCACATTTAGTCTAGAAAGACTGATCGCAGTGATTTTGTCCATGTTTTTGTTGTATCTAAGCCTGAGTCTCCTGTAGATAAGAAGGTAACAGGTGAGAGACCATGATGGTGGATATGACTGGTGCAAGAGGGATGTTCTATACCTATACCTTGTATGCTGGAGTGTCACTCACTTCATAACAATACTGTAGCTGCTAACCTCTCTAGGAACTCATTGGTTAAGATGTCAGTACTTATTGCAAATATTCCTAAAGTATAATATATATTTAGTTTTTACTGTGAAACACCAAATATCCCAAAACAAACTCCACCTCCAATTACTAAAGTAAAAGGCTTTAAAATAAGGACTCCGCTCAGTGAACCATCCTCACATCCAGCACTTTATTGTTCATCCTGGACCTCATCAATTATATAGAGCAGCACAACAGAACAGATTGTCTTTGTCAGTGAAGATAGGGGGCCTCGCTGTCTCTGTGCACATCACTGAGCAGCAGCAGATGGAAACGCTTCCAATTAACCTTTTTAAAGGTTAATTATAGTTTAGTTTTCTTTTTTAATGAAAGATTTTACCTTTTATACATCTGTCCTTTAGCTATGATGAGTTAGTTAGAGATTAGAGGTGTATTTTTTTATTATAAAGAAAATAATTTAAAAAAATTAATGATAAACAAAAGTAATTTGCTCCAAACACTGCTTCACCTGTGCAGTAATATTTCTAATCTCCCATTATTTAAGTGAGATCAGCGAGAAGTGGGAACAAAGAAAAAAGAAAGAAAGAACAAAGGAGGAGTGAGGAGTACTAGTGAACCAACTTTCTAATCCGTACAAATGAAGTGGGGGCGATTCATGGTTGAGTAACTAAGAAGGGGGAGTCAGTAATCACAAAGAAAGAGAGGAGGGAAGAGGAGAAAGAAAGAAAAAGAAAGATGTCATGAGCGGATCTCATTCATTTGTTAGATTAACCTTCAAGTGTTTGAGGATTTTGAAGGAACATGTTGTGAACCCGTCTTCACTTGTTTGCTTCATTGCATGTTGAACTTGTCGGACATTGTTTTTCTGAGATCATAGTGCATTGTGGTTTTTGGACACAACTGTGATCACGGGAAGAGGATGGGAGTCCTTCGTCTGTCTCTTGCTCTCTTCCTCTTCTCATCACCTGCACAAGCTCAATGGTGGAGTTTCTTGTGGGCCAGTCCTACCTCCGGCCCCAGTGGTGCTCCTTCATCTGCTCCTACTTTCACCTCCGCATCCAATATTTCTCTGGGTCTTTCTGACAATCTTTGGGCGACAGAACAGGTCAGTTTGGGAGATGATGTGACAGAAGGAGCTCTGAGGAGCGGCAGTCAGGCAGAGGAATCCATTCTGTTCTCTACACCTGGTCCTGCAGTGATTTACTCTGGTGTAAGTACTGTAAAGCCAGAGGTTTGGCTTCCAGAGGACAAAGCAAGTGGAAGCGGTAAATCCAGGTCACAGTACAAACAACTGAAACACTGGAAAAATGGTGAGTGAGGTTGGTTTTAAATGAAACACTTTTTGGATTTTCTGATCTTTCTGTACTCTCTAATCCAAGCATACTCCATTGTTTATAGTAGTTTTAATGGCTGAAATATTTGTTATTGGGTTGTCATTTTTAAAATTGTAAATTGATTAAGGAAACTTTTAATTATTAGGGAATTTTAATTATGACATCTTTACTAGTCTATCTCCCTTTACCTGCAACCTGACAATGAATTGTTTCTCAACACTAAACTGTGAGGTGAAACCATTTTCTTTGGTCCCTTGTATTCTGATTGCCGTATTTCTGTTTCCTTCAGAGCGAGGCTCAGGAAGTCACCTGGACCTGACTGAGCTGATCGGTGTTCCCCTGCCTCCCTCCGTCTCCTTCACCCCGGGTTATGAAGGCTTTCCAGCCTACAGCTTTGAACCTGGAGCAAACATTGGTCGCCTGACCAAGAGCTTTGTACCAGGGCCATTCTACAAGGACTTTGCCATTATTGTCACGGTGAGATGATTTTAACTGTTAACCTTTTACAGATGTGTCTACATTTGGAAGTGTTTATTTTTCTGTCCTGTCACTAGTGTGTCTGTGTGTAACCTGCAGGAGCATCTACTGATGTGTATGTGTATTTAAAGCTAATATTTAATGCTAAATAGACTGGTGTTTTCTCTCATCCATGTGAGTGATAGTACAATTATTTTGCTGTGAAGACATGCATTATTCTTCAAATACTTTGACTTAGAAGTGAAGTTAAATGTGCTGCTTTCCACAGGTGCGACCAACAAGCCAAAGAGGAGGCGTGCTCTTTGCCATCACTGATGCTGCTCAGAAGGTGGTGGAGCTGGGACTGGCCCTCACTCCAGCCAGGGCTGGCCTCCAGAGTATCCTACTATACTACACTGACAGACAGCAGTCCTCCCACAGTCACAAAGCTGCAGCCTTCAGTGTCCCTGAAATGACTGATCAGTGGACACGCTTCACAGTAAGCTTTAATTTAGGACATAACATGGCGTAGAAACGACTAAAATTATTTTATGCCTCTCCACATTTTCTTTTTGTACTGAAGTATATGTGTCATCCTGGGTTTGATTCCCAGAGGAACCACATACTTGGAGCCTGCAGATGTGCCGTTAACAAGACTCTCCCCAGTGTGGAATCAATATAATTCAAATTATTAATTATTTTGTTGTCTTTGGTTTTGTATTTGGACTGATTCGCTAAAGAAATGTATCAACATAAAATAAATAAAATTCATAGTAGTTAAATAAATGTCCCAGAGGAACCACATACTTGGAGCCTGCAGATGTGCCGTTAACAAGACTCTCCCCAGTGTGGAATCAATATAATTCAAATTATTATTTATTTTGTTGTCTTTGGTTTTGTATTTGGACTGATTCGCTAAAGAAATGTATCAACATAAAATAAATAAAAATCATAGTAGTTAAATAAATGTAGTAGTTTTGTCAAAGAGGAACCTTTTTTTTTTTAAATGTCCGTGTTGCCTGTCAGGTGGTGGTGGAACAGGATGAGGTGCGTCTCTACATGGACTGTGGAGAGGCAGAAAGAACACGTTTCCAGAGAAGGCAGCAGGGGCTGACGTTTTCCCACAACTCGGGCATTTTTGTTGGAAATGCAGGGAGCACGGGGATGAACAAGTTTGTGGTACGTCAAAGAGAACTTTTGTTGTAGTATTGTGTATATTAATATGACTGTGCCTAAGGAAAGGAAAGGAAAGTGAACTATTTCCTGGTAAATTCTCCACCTCTGTGTTTTCAGGGCGCCATTCAGCAGCTGGTTATAAAGGACGACCCCAGAGCAGCTGATGAGCAGTGTGAAGATGACGATCCCTACGTGAGTCAACTGTGCATACACACACGAAACAACAGCAGCACCTAGTGGCAAGATGTCCTTGTGTAATAAATATGCTATGCTTTAGATAGGGAAAAAGGTGACCAAGATTTGGCCCACATACTCGATGACCTTTGACATAATATGGGTCACAGGTTAGCCATAAATGTAACCTGTAAGCAAACTCCTTTGAATGTTATAATTATATAACTTAAATAAATATTAGCCACATTATAGCCATGTGATACCAGCCCTGCTTTTCTGTTCAGGTTTTTACATCCATTTACATCCATACAGTAGAGCCTGTATTTTTGTTGTTGATGTTTTTAAGCACAGAAAACATTTCTGTTTTCTAACACAAGGACACAATTTTACATTTAATCAAGGCCTCAGGATATGACAGTGGAGATGATGCTCTGGACGACAGAGAGACAGAGGAGGAAACCACCACTAAAATACAGCAACAGAAACACAGCACACAACAGGTGAGTTGAACTGATATATTATTTTGATTTCTTTTATAGAATTATTATTTTGGCAAGTGATTTATTCTAATATAAATTTTAACTTGCTCTCACGTTTACATGGTGTTTTATATTTACTATCTGTTCACATATATTGATTTGAAGAGATTTTCTAAAAATGTGTTATTGTGTGATTGTCGGCTTTGATAGTCAGTTGTATGAGCAACAATCCATGTGTATATTTTGATCATTTTTTTAAATAAATTAGTAATGAGTTGTTAAACAATGCTTAAATGTATAAGTCTGTTTCTGATGTTTATTTAAATTAGTATTTTTGGCACGTGTAGTTTCTTTTCACTGAATTCATCATCTATTGTAGGAAAAGGACAGTGTTCCCATTAATGCACCACCCACTGAGGCTCCAGAATTGGATCTAGATGAGTATTCTGGTCACATGACTCCCACAGAGGCTGGGGAAGAAGTATTGATTACAGGTCAGGATGATTTAACAACAAACAAAGTGTCAGCACAGAGAAAACATTAAAAATGTTGTACATGGTCACAGGAGCCAGCAGGAAACGAGGCAGAAAAATAACAATTAAAAACATGGTTTTGTCACACACTGACCTTCCTGATCTCTGTGCAGGGCGAACAAGAACCGATGAGGTTGGAGAGAGTCTAGAGGAGGTGAGTTCACATGTGGTTTTATAACTTTAATAATGTGCCTCAACATAGGGGTTGTGTGCCTCAGTTTTGTTTACTAAATCTTAGAATTAAATATTCAAATCATTAATTAAAAGTTCGTAATATTTACAGGTCAGGCCAGGGATGAAAGGAGAATCAGGAGATCCTGGACCACCTGGGCCACCTGGTCCCCCAGGACCAAACCCAGTACCTGGGCAGCCTGGACCAATGGGACCACAAGGGCAACCTGGAAAACCAGGGATTCTTGGACAGCCAGGGAGAGATGGACAGAAGGTTTGTGTGTCGTTACTGTTTTTGTTTCCTTTATATTTGTTTCTGCATCACATATATTTATATATTCTGATTTTCCCGTGTCTCACAGGGAAGTAAAGGTGATAATGGAGATCCAGTGAGTATTTTTTTTCTCTTTTTAGCAGCATATATGAAAGCAACTATATGTTAAACAGAATAAGTTCTGAATTTTAAGGGTCAGAGAGGTCCTCAAGGATTTCCTGGTTTAACTGGAGATGTTGGAGCCAAAGGAGAAAAAGTAGGAGAAGGAATTCAGTGTCGGAAAACGGTCCTTTAATATTCATATTTTAACAATGTCTTTATTCTTCTCATTTATAGGGAGAACAAGGAATTGGTTTACCAGGTCCCCCAGGACTACCAGGTCCACCAGGACCCTTGAGATCTCGCAGCGTACCTGTAAGTAAATTAATTTTGTTTTCCAGGAAAAGAATTCAACAAATCAAAGCAGAATATTTTAATATATTGTGATCTGTATGTTGTTATCTTTTAGTATGGAGCTGATGCACTGGGTTCTGGGTTCGAGGATTTGGACAGTGACACTGAGGTCATCAGGGTAAGTGGAGGCCAGTCAGGAGGATAAAAAAAAACATTTGTTTTTTTTTGTTTTTCTATTTATTTTCTATCTGAAAGGTGGGGTTTATATCATTAAAAATCCCTGCTTTACCAGGGTCCTCCTGGTCCTCCAGGTCCACCTGGACCTCCTGGTCCCTCTGGATTCAACCTGTCAGCTGACGTAGCTAATGGACTCAATCTGAGTCATGCTGGGCCCGCTGGTGTCCCTGGAAAAGACGGCCTTCCAGGCCAACCTGGAATACCTGTAAGTCCTTTACACGTACAGTTTTACAGTAACAAATGTCTAACATTATGATTATTATTATGAATAGGGAAACGTTTTTTGCACATTTCACATTTTCTTTATTTAAAGCGTACCTGATTATATGCATATTTGTTTGCATTCCCAGGGTCCAGCAGGAAAAGATGGATTTCCAGGTGTACAGGGAACCAAAGGAGAGAAGGTGAGAATATTAAAGTGAACTCTGTTGTGATTTCTGAATTTGGTTCAAGAGAGAGATAGAAATAACTTGCCAATCTAAGTTAAAAAAAACTTCATAAAAGTCATTACCCCCATTTATCCCTAGGGGGAGGTACCACCAGTGAAACATTTGCCATATTTTGAAAACCACTGTTACAAATTTAATTTCTTGTATTGTCAAATAAATTCAGGAAAATGTTCTCCCTTCTTTTTTCTTTGTTATTAGGGTGACCATGGATTACCTGGCCCACCTGGACCAAAGGTAAAATGTGGACTACTGACAATTTTTAGTAAAGGATCAACAAAGCGTGTTTTTGAGTGCTCGTAATGACTTGTTTTTGACTTTACAACAATGATTAAAATCAGTGACAAAATGGAAAATAAAATCTCTAAATGTCTACAGGGTGAAAGTGGACCTCAAGGTAAACCGGGACCACAAGGACCCAGTGGTCCAGAAGGGAAGAGAGGCCCTGCGGGTCCACCAGGCCCACCTGGACCCCCTGGAAATTCAAGAGCCAATTACTTTTTAAAGGTGACAATATTTCATGTTACTGTAATATTTATTCACTGATTTATTGAGCAAAGACTGGGTGGTAACTATGGCAACATGAACATAACATGTGGCAAAGATTGATTTAAAAAAAACAACAACAAAAAAACAAAGAACAAGTCAACATCATTTTACTTCCAGTGTTTTTGTTTTCAGGACATGGAGGGATCTGGGACAGGTGACGTGTTCATGGGAGCTGGAGCCAGAGGTACACAGGTTGGTGCAAAGGCCTTAGAAATGTATTCATGAACTGTCCACATGTATTTACTGTTTATTTTCTTGTTTTGTTGAATTTTCTTTTGTTTCAGGGTCCTCCTGGTCCTCGAGGACCTAAGGTACTTTAAATTTTAGGATTTACCTATAAGAAAAATTCTATTTGAAACTTGAAACAGATTAAGATTAAACTGCTGTTCTTTTTTCTATTGATATTTTGTTTTTTTCCTCATGTGTTTAGGGTGAAGATGGAGCTCCAGGGATATCTGTTAAAGTCAGTCTATATTTTTTATATATGTGCTTCATTGTTCTTTTGCCTCAATTAGCATTGGCATTTTAACCTGTTTTTATTCAAGTGTTAGTAATTTGTTTAAAGCAGTCAATGATGAAATTAATATGTAATAATTTTCTTGTCCGAGGTTATACAGTAGTGGTAGCTATATTGCTTGAACACTAAGTAGTCTTTATCTTTGCTTTACCCAATAAATTATATTTAAAAGTTAATCAATCGAAATATGGAAACATTTCCTGCTTTGTCCAAACCCTCATAAATCTGGATTTTCACCAGAGCCAAAATCTTAACTGTTTTTTAATTTATCTCTGTCATTTACTCACATGCTAAGAGACAGTTAGCTTATACTTAGCCTGCTGTGTGCTCCAATTACAGGGTAAACCAGGAGAACCAGGACCCCAAGGAATTCAGGGTCCTGCTGGGCTACCAGGTGCTTCGGTGAGGAAACCTTTATGTGACTAGAATGTTCTAATAAAGATCAGCTCAAAAAGCCTGGAATGCCTTTATGAACGACTTCTCTACTCTTTAAAACAGGGCGCCAAGGGTGAAAAGGGAAGTCCAGGCTTAAAGGTAGGTTATTTCAACACAACCCATTTATCATTATGTAATAAGTTGATGCTAATGCTTATCATTTTTGTTACCCAAAGGGTGACCAAGGCAGAGATGGACTCAGTATCCCTGGACCTCCTGGGCCGCCGGGACCTCCTGGACCGGTCGTAAATTTGCAGAATGTATGCATACATACAGAAACGTTATTCTTTACTTAGGATTTTAAAGACAATTACAATTCAAATTTATAAAATTTAAAAAAAAAAAGTTCAATATGCATCATTTTTATCTATATTTATAATTGACTGAAAAGATTTGCTGTCAATTTTTGTTTATTTGTCTGGAGCGATAATGGTCATTTTCTTCTGTATTGTCCAAATTTAAATATTTCTACATTTATAACAGATGAATGAAGGTTACAGTGGAAAACATATGTTGCTCACTAAGGTTAAGTTATTTGAACAAAATAAAATAGGAGAACAATCAAATGAGTAGTGAAGATCACTTTTTATAGTTCCTTCATAATTAATGACTCATTATAAATGATACTTAAAACTTCATGTGTGTCGTAGGGTGCTGAAGGCTTGCCTGGCAGAGCAGGGTTTCCTGTAAGTGAACTCTCTTTACATTATGCTACAAATTATGATTACAGTGTAACTTTAAGGAACTGTTTATTTGTTGTGTTTGTTTGGTTTTTCACCTGGCTGAGTACTAAAAAATCCTCAGCCCCCTACTGGTCTGGGACCCTGTGGTTGTTAATTTTTGTTTTTTTAACAGTTATAATAATGCAGTATTACTGTTTTTTCAGGGCACTGTTGCGATTTATAGTCCGGAGAGACATATAGTCCGGAAAATACAGTACTTGTTTTGGTTTTTCATATTTGTCGTGTCATTTGATTAATTGTTCAGGGTCCCCGAGGACCAAAGGGAGACAGAGGACCTCAGGGTGTCCATGGCACAGCTGGGAATAAAGTAAGGAAGGCCAAACTAAAAAGCCGTAGACTAGATTTCATGCCATGTGACTCACTTTGTGAGTCGTAAAAGCAGAAATATTCTCAAACGTATCCCCGTCGTCTCCTGTGTTTTCACACAGGGAGAGAAGGGAGAGCCAGGAGTGATCGTTGCTGCTGATGGATCTATTTTATCTCCACCCAGTGGACCCAAAGGCATCAAGGTGCAACAGAATGATCCTTAATATTTAGGCGGGACACCTGGGATTTTACACATTTTGTGTAATATCACTATTGTTTGTTTCTTGTCTTTTGGAAACTTCACCTTGTTTTTTGTCATTCTTTGTATTTTTGTAGGGTGACCGGGGTTATCAAGGAAGTGCTGGAGTTATGGTAAGTCCGTCACATTCCCAGAATTCTTTAAAAAAAACTGTTATAAGCTTTTTAGTCTTTGGCTCTTTGGACTAATTGATATATAAAATATGCTGATGTATTTTTGTGTTGATTTTAGGGTCCTATGGGACCTCCTGGGCAAAAAGGAGAATACGGCTTTCCAGGTCGTCCGGTGAGTACACTGATTGGTTTGGTTTATATACAGTATAGGTTTAAGGTGACTGTATTTAATATTGTATCACTGCAGGTCCTTATATTTATCTGGCCGATAATTATCGTGCATCATTATAATTTATATATTTTTATTTTCCATTATTTTGCTTCTGTTTTTCTTAATTGCTGTTTTTTTTTAAATTTGGTGCCAAAATGTTTTTTTTATATTTGCCCTTTCCTTTTAGGGCCGCCCTGGTTTCCCTGGTAAAAAAGGTGACAGAGGAGAAGCTGTTGGCCTGTCGGTAAGGGAAGGTAGCAAAACATCCTACACTAAACAGCTAACAGACGGAGTAAGACTTTCAAGAATGTCAATTTTAATCTCTGAGATTAGGACATTTGATAGACTTCAATTAAAAAGGAAAAAAGCCCTTGGTGTAAATTTGGTATGATTTGATTAGAGATGTGAAGGTTTTTTCTTCCTCCGCCCCAGGGACCACCCGGACCTCCAGGACCTCCAGGACGTCCAGGAAGATTTCTTGGTTTTAATGGGGTGAGTGTTAACCCATGTAATATCCTACTAATATATCTGTACGTCAACCATACACTGTATCAAGTGTACTTAAACCCATTGGTTGGGGGAAGTGTGCATTAACACTAATGAATTACGAGTAAATAATGATAATAAAATAAATCGTTTTCTTTCACTTGCAGCAAAGTTGGTATATAAGGATATTTTATTCGTTACTTACAGTACCTGGCAATATATTTCTCCTAACCTTTTTATCTGCTGTAATTGTTTGGGTTTTTTGTCTCCATTTGCTTGAATCATTCATGTCTTTGTTTTTACCACTGTTGAACTGAATCTGTGTCTGTGCTACAACATTTTGTACTGTACTTTGTATGTGTGAAGGGAGTGATGTCAAGGAGAGCCTTCATCGGAGACAAAGGAGACGAGGGAGTAACAGAGGATGGAATGACACCTGGTAAGAGGCTGCCTCTGCTGTTTGACTCCCTAGAAGTCACTTGTCCTTCATCAGAGATGCTGATTTTCGATGATAAAAATACCCAAACATCATACTACCTACAGCTTCAAGTCAATTTCCATCGTGAACTGGTAACACAGATTTCTTTGTAATTTTTTAAATATTTCATTCTCCTTTTCTTTTAGACTCTGAAGTTGTCAACAGACTGATGGTGAGTAAAGCAAGACTTTTCAACAGTTTTCTGAAATAAAAAAAAAAAAAAATAGAAAAAGTTTCTCGAATAAAATAATAAAAAAAGTTTTCTGAAATATATATATATATATATATACATATATATATGCACGTTGTTATCTTTAAAGTTCAGGGAAACCTATTTTGTCACATCAACTAGTGATCAAAAGCAGCATAATATACAAAGTTTCCAGAAAAGTTTTCAGAACTAAAATAATTCTTAAAACTGCATGAAAATGCACCGATTAACCTTAAAATGTGATATTTCCATTTATATGGTTAACATTCATAAATTATGTAATCTTTAGGTACGGCTAGCATTCATCACAGTAACATTCTATAGTAATAAGTTCCCAAAGTCTTCAAAAAGAAACGTTTCCTGAACAGTGACATTGAAATGATATAAATGGGGACTCTCTATTCTGTTTTGTCATCAAACTAACTGCTGTAACTGTTACTGCTCATGACATCTACTCTGGTTTGTCTTTTCACAGAGTGAGCGAGGTGATCTGCTAAAGGGTCAGAAGGGAGATAAAGGTGCTGCCGGTCTGCCTGGAGCTCCAGGACTGCCTGGACGTTCAGGCCTCGTGGTGAGTTCTGATAAAATGTCAGTCTGAAATAACTTTTCCAAGTCAATAATTTAGAGTTTATTTCAAGAGACGATCCTCTTTTCTCTTCCTAAAGGGTCCAAAAGGTGAATCTATTGTGGGTCCTCCTGGCCAAAGAGGTTCCCCTGGTCTGCCCGGGACTGCAGGCTTTGGACGACCTGGACTCAGAGGTCCACCTGGCCCTGCTGGACCTCCAGGACTTGCACCTCTGAATGGATCTGGTACAGGTAAGTTTGAGATGGGAGAAGTAGATACTTTTTAATACATTTATTTTAAACTATCAAAATCACATGTTTGTATAATAAATGAGCAAAAGTTCTTCAAAATAATTCTAAATTGCTGTCAGCAGCTGTTAGCCTCCCAGGTCCACCTGGTCTTCCCGGTCCACCAGGGTCTCCAGGACATGGAAATCTGGTGAGCTTTTCCCCACAAAACAAAACTCAAACTCTCCTGGAAAAAAATCACTTGCGGCATTTATTCTGGACTGTTGTTGTGTGCATTAAGGTGACCGTCTATAAAACCATTCATTCCATGACCAAAGACAGTCAACGTGTCTCAGAAGGAACTCTGGCTTATGTGTCTGACGGAGGAGGAGAGCTTTACATCAGGACCCAGACAGGATGGCAGAAGATTCAGGTGTGTAATAATATCCATCCATCCATCCATTTTCATCCGCTTATCTGTTACCGGGTCGCAGGGGCAGCAGTTTCCATGACCGCCACCCAAATCACATTGCACCGTACCAACCCCCCTGAACCTTCCTGTGGGTGGTGGGTCCACTGGAAGGTACCAACCGCCCTAACCGGGATTCGAACTTGCCCAGGAGGTGAACCCTGGGGTTCCACACTAATGACAGAGACATTGACACTGGGCCAAAGTGTCACTGTGTAATAATAATAAAAAATTAAACAGAATAAATAAGTACCTAATAATAATAATAATGTTGTATGTATGTTGATGTTCCAGCTTGGTGAGCTGATTTCACTTGGTAAATCCTTCAGAACTGAAGAATGGAGTCGACCAGACTGGAGCCACAACCAGGTATAAATGTAAAAATGCACATGTAGAAGACGAGCCACAGCAGAACGACATTAANCCTGAACCTTCCTGCGGGTGGTGGGTCCACTGGAAGGTACCAACCGCCCTAACCGGGATTCGAACTTGCCCAGGAGGTGAACCCTGGGGTTCCACACTAATGACAGAGACATTGACACTGGGCCAAAGTGTCACTGTGTAATAATAATAAAAAATTAAACAGAATAAATAAGTACCTAATAATAATAATAATGTTGTATGTATGTTGATGTTCCAGCTTGGTGAGCTGATTTCACTTGGTAAATCCTTCAGAACTGAAGAATGGAGTCGACCAGACTGGAGCCACAACCAGGTATAAATGTAAAAATGCACATGTAGAAGACGAGCCACAGCAGAACGTCATTAAAGACAAGAAACGGATTTAACAACAATGAAACGTCATTTTCTGCAGGAGCTGCAGGATGGAGGCAGAGGATATCAGCCCAGCTTTAATGTAGTGCCACAAACTGTCAGTGCTGGGCCTGGGGTGAGTCAAAGTTTTTTATTTGTCACACAGTGATTCACATTGTTACATCACAACATAAACTTGTATTTTAAGGAGTTTTTTTAAACTTCTTTTTTTCACATACACATAAGACATTGTAAAAAACATATGCTTTTCATCCTAGCTCCACCTGGTGGCCCTGAATACCCCCGTAAAGGGTGACATCCGTGGCATCCGGGGGGCAGACTTCCAGTGCTATCAGCAGGCACGCTCCACCGGGCTTAGTGCCACCTACAGGGCGTTCCTATCCTCACACCTACAGGACCTGGCAACCATAGTGAAGAAAGCAGATCGAACTGAGATGCCAGTAGTTAACCTGAGGGTAAGACTAGTATTTAAATATTATACACACAGAAGATAATATCAATCATTTTATGATTCTATATGTATTTATTGTCGACATCCCAACTGTTCATCTTTCTTCTCCCATCTCCATCTCTTCTGCGCTTCTGTCCTACCCTCCCTCTCACTTTCCCTCTCCTAATCTCTCCTCCTCCTCCTCCGTCCTCTCCTTAGGGTGACTTGTTGTTCAGTAACTGGGAGTCCATTTTCTCTGGGAATGGGGGAACATTTAATCCATCAGTACCTATCTACTCCTTTGATGGACGGAACGTCATGACAGATTCAACGTGGTGAGTATGTGTGTGGAGACTATTATATATATATGTATAAAAAAACCCAACTAATATATGGTTAAAATATTTTTAATATTCAGTCA